TATCTCATTTTGCTAAAATGTTTGCCAACTTTATTGATCTTTTCAATGAAGCAACTTTTATTTTCACTGGTTCTCTTGATTGTTTTTCTGTTCTCTTTTATTTATCTCCACTCTAATCTTTGTTTTCTCTCTTCAGCTGGCTTTGGGTTTAATTAAACTAATATTTGGCAGGTTTTTTTGTTTTGAACTCTGGGACTGGGCACTGTCCCTGAGCTCTTCAGCTCAAGGTAAGTGCTCTACCACCTGAGCCACAGTGCCACTTCCAATTTTCCTGGTAGTTAACTGGAGATAAGAGTCACACAGACATTCCTGCCAGGGCTGGCTTTGTACCACGATCCTTAGATCTCAGCCTCCTGAGTAGCTAGGATAATAGGCATGAGCTACCAGCACCCAGTTTAGCTGGCTTCTTAAAGTATAGAGTCTGTTTGTTGATGTCAGGTTTTCTTTCTTTCTTTCTTTCTTTTTTTTTTGGTTGGACCTTAGGCTTGAACTCTGGGCCTGGGTGCTGACCCTCTTCACTTCAAGGCTAGCGTTCTACCACTTGAGCCACAGAGCCACTTCCAGTTTTCTGAGTGGTTTATTAGAGATAAGAATCTCACAGACTTTCCTCCTGGAGCTGGCTTTAAAGCACAATCCTCAGATCTCAGCCTTCTGAGTAGCTAGGATTACAGGCATGAGCCACCAGCGCCCAGTGGTTTTCTTTCTTTTTAAACATATCATTTTATAGTTATATTTCTCTTGAGCACTGTTTTGCTGCATCCGTAGATTTTGGTATATATTGTTCTTCTCATTTTCATTCTTCTCAGAGTAGTTTTAATTCTTCTTGTCATTTTATCTTTGGTTTTAAAAGCATTGGGGATGATCTTTAATTTCCTCATATTTGTGAACTTTGAAGGGCTTTTTGTTGTTGTTTCGTTTTGTGGGGCTTCTTTTTTGCCATTACTGGGTCTTAAACTCAGAACCATCTTCAGTCATCTTCCTTCTTTATGACTGGCACTATTCCTCTTGAAACCATGCTTCCAGTCTGGATTTTTATCTGGTCAAAATGGAGATGGAGTCTTGGCAGACTTTTCTGCCCAGGCTGGCTTAGAACTGTGATCCTTCGAGTAGCTAGGATTACAGATGTAAGCCATCCGCACTCTGCTCTGCTACCCATTTTTAGTTTCATTTCACTGAGGACAGAGAAGATATTTTTTTTTTGGGGGGGGGGGGTCCGGTCATGGGGCCTGAACTCTGGGCCTGGGTGCTGTCCCTCAGCTCTTCAGCTCAAGGCTAGCACTCTACCACTTGAGCCACAGCGCCACTTCCGGCTTTTTTCTTTTTCGCTTATGTGGTGCTGAGGAATTGAACCCAGGGCCTCATGCATGCAAGGCAAGCGCTCTACCACTGAGCCACCTTCCCAGCCCAGAGAAGATATTTCATAGGATTTCAGTCCTTTAAGTTTGTTGAGACTGTTAGGTGGCCTGAAATACATGATCTATCTTGAAGAATGTTCCACATGTATTGAGAAGGAAAGATATTCTGTGGCTGCTGGGTAGAGTGTTCTGTGTGTGCCAGTTAAATCTAATGGGTTTACAGCACCCAAGAGATTTAAGCAGTGGAGGAATCTGACCAAATTATCTCTCTCTCTCTCTCTCTCTCTCTCTCTCCTTTTAATATGCTCGTCTGCCTGCTGGTTGGAGTGCTGCCTGGAGGCAGAAAGAGAGGAGTCTTCTTTCACTCAAGCTCCCCCAAACTGACTCCAAGCCAGGCAAAAAGTTCCAGCCACGACTCTGACATCAGCCTGCCAGCTCTAGAAGGAGAATATTGTCTTGCGGAGAAGACCAGAACCACAAGGCTATCCTCTCCTCCCTTCCGTCTTGGGGCTTGAACTCACTCAAGACCTAGGTGCTATCCCTAAGCATTTTTTTTTTTTTTTTGCTGATTGTGGGGCCTGAACTCTGGGCCTGGGCACTGTCCCTCAGTTCTTCAGCTCAAGGCTAGCACTCTACCACTTGAGCCACAGCACCACTTACAGCTTTTTCTGCTTCTATGGTGCTGAGGAATTGAGCCCAGGGCCTCATGCATGCAAGGCAAGCACTCTACCACTGAGCCACCTTCCCAGCCCTATTCCTAAGCTTTTGTACTCAAGGCTCACATTCAACCACTTGAGCTCCACTTCCAGCTTTTTGGTGATTAATTGGAGATAAGAGTCTCACAAACTTGCCCAGGCTGGCTTTGAACCTTTATCCTCAGATCTTAGACTCCTGAGTAACTGGGATTATAGGCATGAGCCACTGGTAGCCAGTAGGAACTGTTTTTAAAAAAAACAGATGATATACAGAGGGGTTACAGTAAGTAAGGTAGTGAGTACATTTCTTGTCAAACTTGTTACTCCCTGGAATTTTTTTTTTCTAGTCATGGGGCTTGAACTCAGGGCCTGGGCGCTGTCCCTGAGCTCTTCAGCTCAAGGCAAGCACTCTACCACTTCCCATTTTCTGGTGGTTAACTGGGGATAAGAGTCTCACGGGCTTTCCTTCCCCAGGCTGGCTTTGAACCTTGATCCTCAGATCTCAGCTTCCCGAGTAGCTAGGATTACAGGCATTGAGCCACTGGCATCCAGCAATGGGATTTTTTTTTCCCCAGTCCTGGAGCTTGAACTCAAGGCTTGGGTATTGTTCCCTGAGCTTCTTTTGCTTAAGCCTAGCATGCTACCACTTGAACCACAGCACTATGTGTGGCTTTTTCTGTGCATGTGGTGCTGAGGACTCAAACCCAGGGTTTCATGCGTGCTAAGCAAGCACTCCACCACTAAGCCAAACTCAGCCTCCTGTAGCTAGGATTACAGATATGAGCTATCAGCACTCTGCTCTGCTACCCATTTTAGTTTCATTCCACTAAGAACAGAGAAGATATTTCATAGGATTTCAGTCCTTTAAGTTTGTTGAGACATGTTTGGTGGCCTGACATATGGTCTATTTTTTAATTATTATTTAATTTTAATTTTATTTTCTTGTAAAGATGCTGTGCAGAGAGGTTACAGTTAGAATTATTTTTTAAGACAGAATTACAAGGACCCAGCAACCCGGTTCCTAGAATACTCAGTCACATTTACATGTTTAAAATTAAGCGGGGTGCTGGTGGGCTCACGCTTGTAATCGTATCTACTCAGGAGGCCAAGATTTGAGGATTCTGGTTCAAAGCTCCCTGGGCAGGAAAGTCCACAAAACTCTTATCTCCTATTAACCATCAGAAAAATGAAAGTAGCGCTGTAGCTCAAAGTGGTAGAGCACTGGCCTTGAGCAAAAGGAGCTCAGGGACAGCACCCAGGACTAGAGTTCAAGCCTCGGGACCAGTGCACATGCGCCAGCGTGCATGCGCGCGCTCCCACCCACCCACCCACCCACACACACACACACACACACACACATGCATGCACACACACAAAAATGAAAAAAAAAATTAAATAAAATGCTTGCAAAGTTATCTGTGGCACAGTGTCATAACAAATAGAAACAGAAAGTTTTAAAAAAGAAAGAAAATAACCCAAATACTCATCAACAGACCAGGCTATAGGCTAAATAAATTTGAGCACAACCATCAGTCAGTGAAAAACTATATTGTTGTAAGGAAAAAAGTTTAAAGAAATCTTTTATGTCTTCATAAGAAAAACATTAAGATTCACTGCTACATAAAGACAGCAAGATAGAAGCTGGAGGCGTGGTTCAAGTGGTACAGAGATAGCTGTGAGCAAGCAAACTGAGTGAGAACGAGGCCTTGAGTTCAAGTCCTGGTACTAGCAAAAGAATATGAAATTAAATTAGTACCTATTTGGGCACATTTATAAAACATATTATTGGTACCTTTATTTGCCTCTTGGTGAGAAAGTGAAGTAGGTCACTAGAAACTGGAAAAGTTAGTCTTTATTCATAGACTTTTTTTTTTTTTTTGCCGGTCATGGGGCCTGAACTCTGGGTCTGGGCGCTGTCCTTCAGCTCTCCAGCTCAAGGCTAGCACTCTACCACTGGAGCCACAGTGCCACTTCTGGCTTTTTCTGTTTATGTGGTGCTGAGGAATCGAACCCAGGGCCTCATGCTTGCAAAGCATGCACTCTACCGCTGAGCCACCTTCCCAGCCCCTATTCATAGACTTTTGGAACCATTGTTTTATAAACCATATAAGAATTTATAGGTTGGGGCTGGGAAGGTGGCTCAGTGGTAGAGCGCTTGCCTTGCATGCATGAGGCCCTGGGTTCGATTCCTCAGCACCATATAAGCAAAAAGAAAAAAAAAAGCCGGAGGTGGCAAATTTGGCTCAAGTGGTAGAGCGCTAGCCTTGAGCTGAAGAGCTAAGGGACAGCGCCCAGGCCCAGAGTTCAGGCTCCATGACCGGACCCAAAAAAAAGAATTTATAGGTTAAAAAATAAATACGTTGCTGGGCATAGTGGTGCATGCCTATAATCTCAACACTTGCGAAACAGAGGCAGAAGGATCAAAAGTTGGAGGCCAGTTTGAGCTCTTTAGTTCCAGGGCGGTGTGGGCTACATAACAAGACCCTGTCTCCATATGAAACCAACACTAAGGAAAATAAGGGACACCTTTGTTAAAATAGCACGCTGTGCTCAGAACATCGGCACTTACTTCCAACATCGCAAAGGCAACAGCTCTGGCTAACCAGTCTCTACAGCAACCTGGGCAAAGTTGGTCCCAAGGCACAGGTGCCCCAACCCAGAACTCCTAGCCTAGACCACTGCTTGTAAGCCACAGACCCTGCAGTACCCAAGTCCAGTGACCAGACTCCTCATCCCAAGGAAGGCTCCCACAGCCCCTGCCACTGCCAACATCCCGTCCCCAGGGCTAGGGCCAGCCGCGATTGCCAAGGCAGGCTGATGTTTGACTGCTAAGGACCCTCCGGGCTGAGTGGGCATGGTCCCCATTGCCCGCCTCCCAAGCTTCCTGTTCCCACCCCCTCTAGACCCACGACCCTGGTGATGTACACCCACCGTGCGGAGCGCCCACTACCTGAATGTGCCTTCATCATGTGGACTGCCTTGGCCTTGGCCAGCTCCAGGGTGGTGATCCACTGCTGCCGGTCCACCTCGGAGCTGGCCTTCAGGTGATAGTTCCTTGCGCCACTGACCAGCAAGATTCCACAGGAGTCTTCCGTGTCGATCTGTGTGGTGGCCAGGTTGATGGTGCCACGACAGGTGTGGGCCATTTCACCCTGGTTCCTGCCATAGTCAAGAGAAAGTAGGTGAGACTCCCAGACTCCAATGCCACCAACTAAGACAATTTCACAGGATCTCAGGACCTCGGGGCTGGGAGAGGCCCTGGAGCCATTGTTGGAAGGCAAGGCCTGTCGGAATTGCCCTATTCCAGCTGTCATGGTTTAGTGGGACTCTGAGGTCTAGTCTGCGCACCATGCCCTGGTATGGTTTGAGCCCTTGTAGACATGGAGACTTCCAGGGTTCCAGAAGGCAGAACAGGCCTCAGGCTCTGTACCAGACTCTCTGCACTAAGTCTCAGAACCATGGAATCGGAGCAGGGTGAGATTCTGCCACTAAACAGAAATTGGAAGCCCTGAGCCCCAGGGGGTAGATTCAGAAGCACCTCCTGCTCAGAGCAACCTGGAGACACCCTCATCCCTGACTTTTTCCTATGACATCAAGAGATCCACAGAGGCTGGACATCAGGGGCTCATAACTATAATCCTAGCTACTCAGGAGGTTGAGATCCAGAGGATTATGGTCCAAAGCTAGTCTAAACAGGAAAGTCCGTAAGAGCCCATCTCTAAAATAAGTGGCCAAATACTGAGCTGGAGGTGTGGCTCAAGTAGTAGAGTACCAGCCCAACAAGCAAGTCAAGCAAATGTGAAGCCCTCAATTCAAATCCTAGTACTGGTAGAGGATAATGGAGAGAGGGAAGAATGGAGGGAAGGAGGGAGGAAAGGAAGGAGGTAGAAAGATCCACAGAGCAAGGATGCCACCCTTCTTGGGCTCCACAATGAATGAACTGAAGGCACTGGCTGGACTAGGACAGTGTTAGCTCACAAGGAATCAACCCCAACCTCTTTGGGAAGTAAAAGATTAGCAAACTAATGGTGTCAGCACAACAGGAAGTGATGGAGATCCAACTGTGTACCACTTCTACCTGTGAGCAGTGTCTGAAAAGTCAGAACCAACCACCATGACTGGTTCTACTTAGTCCCTGAGCTGCAGGAAATGCCAGAACCCCAGCCCAGCACCAAGTCTCTCCACAGACGGTGCTGGAAAGGAAAGGGCAGGGCAGGAGGAGCTCCATGGCAATTTTCTGCTGCCTTTAGGTTCTTATTGACATTCCCTGCCTCTTCATTACCTCTCATTTTTCTTGCTTTTTCTACCAGTTTATTATTATTATTGTTGTTGTTGTTGTTGTTTGGGGTAGGAGAGGCTTGAACTCTTGGTCTGGGCACTGTCTCTGAGCTTTTTTTTCCTCAAGGCTAGTGCTCTATCACTAGAACCATGGCTCCATTTTTTTTTTTGCTTTCTGTGGTTAATGGGAAATAAGAATCTCATGGACTTTTCTTCTACCCAGGCTGATTTTGAACCCTGATCCTCAGATTTTACGCTGGGTGTAAGCCACCAGCACCTAGCCTACTCTACCAGTTGTGAAGCCAAATGAATTCACTCCCAATGAGACATTTATCTTTCTTTGAACAGTGGTTTGCCTGTTTGGGCTCCTTTCTGCCTGGTTACATTCCTTAGAGAAAATGCCCAGCTTCTAAGTGCTGGCATCACGCACGCTCTCGTGTAACTGGCATTGCATAGCTAGAACTGCCTGCCAGGCAGACGCTCCAGCCTTAGATTTTAGGCGCATTTGAGGCTGGCAATTTGTTCAAGTGCTAAATAGTATAGTGACAGGCCATAATTGACATTAAAAAAGAGGGTCATGAGCTGTGTTCTAGAGGAGACTAGAACAAAAGTTCTAGGATCCAAGCTCTGAGAGCAAGGGAATAGACGAGACAAAAGTAAAAGCCAGGCACTGGTGGCTCACACCTGTAATCCCAGCTACTCAGGTTGCCGAGATCTGGTTATTGTGGTTCAAAGCCAGCGGGGGGGCAGTAAAGTCCAAGACTCATCTCCAATTAGCCAGTGAGAAGCTGGAAGCGGCTCAAGTGGTAGAGCACCAGCCGTAAGCAGCAGAAACAAAAAAGGTGAGAGAACAAGGTCAAGATCACAAGGTCCTGAGTTCAAGTCCTAGTACCGGCAAAAAGTCAGGAAGGAAAGAAGGGAGAGAGGGCGGGAGCAAAGGAGAAAACAGACTAGAGAAGCAGGCAGGGACCCTGTGCAGGATTAAGGATTTAGACTCATCCTTCAAACCTGTAAAACAGAGGGCCTTTAGGCTCAGAAAAGGTGAAGAGTTCCAGAAGTTTCTATAGATAAATGGAACGCAAGTGGAGTTCCTGTGGGTACCAGGTCACTAGTTCAGATCCACGCACTCACCCTCACTCAATGGATCTCTCTGCTGTTCGCCCAACTACTCAGCTTACTAGGCTGCACAGCTCGCCCTGGGCTTCATCTATCCACTCAGAAGCCCTGACAGTTGGTCAGGCGGTGCTATTTGGAAAGTGCCCAACATCACAAGTGCCAGGCAGTGCCCATCCCACAGAAGCTGCCTCTGTGTGCTCGTTTCCACGGTCATGGGGAGGCCTGACACCATTTCACGTGGCATCTGGCCTCCTTCTTTGCCACTGAAGATTTCTCTGGAGAAATGCTAAATAAAGTCTGCCACGACAAGGACAGTTCTGATGCCATTTAGAAAGGGAAAATTAAAATGAACAGGCCATTCTCCTGTTCCTGAGATTCACATTGATGTGAATGTTCGGCCCTAACAAAATGACAGGAACTTATAAAAACAGCGCAGCATTTGAATGGGTGCGGCCGAGGGAGAAAAGCAGACGTTGGTTTGTTTCGTAAATATTTATCAAGAATGTTCCAGATGAAATGGATGGACCTAGAACACATCATGTTAAGTGTGGTAAGCCCAAGCTCAGAGAGACAAACTGCATGTTTTCTCTCATATGTGGTATAAAATACTGGGAACATAATAAATTCCACAGGATTCTAAGCATTCACACACAGTGAGATCAAAGGAAGATAATCTTAGGAGAGGAACAGAAAGGCCCAATGCCCATATGCATCTGATCATACAAAATAATAAGTATCTTAATGAATCCAGGAAATAAAGTTGTTTTTTTTTCATTTGTTCATTTATGTGTCTTTGGAAGTATAAGCAAAGGCACAGAACTGGAGGGACAAAGGGTGAACAAATGCAGCAATGGTTCTCAATGGACACTGTTGAAAACAAACTATACAATTTCTGGGTAGGGATGGTAGGGGAAAACTGGGAGACCAGTGAGGGAAGGGGTGACATTGTTCAAAAAGAAATGCTCTCATTACCTGACTTATATAACTGTAACCCCTCAGTATATCACCTTTGTAATAACTAGAAAAGAAAGTAAAAAGAATGTTCCATATGAAAGGCACATGTAAGAGAGATTTCACTCCAATTTACAACCAAAAAGGGGAAGCCAGAAAGATCAGTCACACATCCCAGTTCATAGAACTAATGAATATCAAAGCCAGAGTAGAACTAGGCCTCTTGGCCCCCTAGACAGGGTTCTTTCTACAAAGAACACAGGACTAACTGTCCAGAAATGGCACTTTGATTTACTTGATCGTTATCTGTATCTACCAGTCACAAGTTCTGAACCTAAATCCTTCACTGGGTACTAGTGGCTTATGGCTACAATCCTAGCTGCTCAGGAGGCTGAGATCTAAATGACTATGGTTGGAGGCCAGCCTGGGCAGAAAAGTCCAGAAGACTCCATCTCCAAATCAGCAAAGAAGGAGGAGGAGGAGGAGGAAAAGGAGGAAGAAGAAGGAGGAGAAAGAAGAGGAGGAGGAAGAGGAGGAGGAGGAGGAGGAGGAGGAGAAAGGAGGGGGAGAAAGAGGAGGAGGAGGAGGAAGAAGAAGAGGAAGAGGAAGAGGAGGAGGAGGAAGAAGAGGAGGCTTCTTCTTCATGGCTCAAGTAGTAAAACATCAGAACAGCAAGCAAGTCAAGCCCTGAGTTCAAACCTCAGTATTGTCCAAAACAAAACAAAACCCCCTAACATTCCATGAGACACAGTGCTAGCCTTGCCTTGTCCCTGCACAACTCAAACCTAACCCATAATAAGAGCTCTGAGACCACATGCTGCTTTATGAATTCATGCATGAGATTCAGACAGGCCCTGGGAGGTGATCTAGCTCTAGCACCAGGGAGTTCCCAACATCCCAGCCTCCAGCATCAGTCACAGAAAACCCATCAGGGCCCTCAGAACATCAGAGCATCATTGAGAGTCAGCCACGGGGGAGGAGGTGCATCACAAGACCATGCCCTGCAGAGCCTGCCGAAGATGATCAGCGATTTCCAATAGAAATGAAAAGCTCTTGACCCATAGGAAATGGATAAACATGACACAAGAAACCATGGTACCTTTCTTTCCATGTCAATACAATTTTTTCATTCAGTTTCGGGTGTTTTTTTTCTTTATACTGGAGTCTTCAAACTTGTGTTCTACTTCACTTCTGTTTAGTTTTGTCTCACACTTTTGCCCAGGCTTTCCTCAAAACTAAAATTCTCCAGGTTCTATCTCTTGAGTACCTAAAACCACAGCATTTATTACTACATTTGGGTGGGGTGATTTGTTGAGATAGTCTTTGGGGGGGAGCGGAGGTGCTGGGATGATCTGGAACCCTAATTCTCCTATTTCTGCCACCTGAGCATCTGGGATTACAAGCATGTGACATCACACTCAGCCCATTGTAAGTTTGTTGGTTTGTTTGCTTGCTTTTTTTTTTTTTTTTTTTGGTTGGTCATGGGGCTTGAACTTGGGCTTGGGCGCTGTCCCTGGGCTCTTCAGCTCAAGGCAAGTGCTCTACTGCTTGAGCCTTAGCACTACTTCTGGTTTTCTTGCGGTTTATTGGAGATAAAGAGTCTCATGGACTTTCCTACCTGGGCTGGCTTTGAACCATGATCCTTAGACCTCAGCCTTCTGAGTAGCTAGGATTACAGGCATGAGCAGCACCTAGCTTCATTGTAGTTTTGAATTGTTGAGACTGATAAGCTTAAAGTGACACCCTGAACTCACTAAGCAGAATTCAGCCCTGAGCCAGGCCATGGTGGTTTTCTTTTTTTTCTCTTTTTTGCC